CGCTTGCGCCTCGGGGCCACGGCTTTCCGGTGAAAGATACAAGACCACCCAAAATTTGGAATATTAACTGGATATTTCGTTATTTTTTCGGCTTAGTTTTTCTTTACATTCCAAGACCAAAAACCTCACTGTATTTACGTAAGTGAAGACTAAACCTTTGCAAACTGTCTCAACAATCCGTGGTAGTCAACTCAATATGTACTGCATGTTCCGTGATCGTGAAACAATGCGGAAAGATTATCATTTTTTTTTTTTACTCGCTGTTTTTGTTTTGAAAACACACGCAAGTCAGGGCACGTGCGATCTGGAAAAAAAAAGGTTCGTTCCTTAAGCTACGCAAGAATGGCATTAACCGGGTCAAAAGTCGCTTGTATAAAGATAAGAGTATTTAACATACTTGATTACACACCGCGTATAGCTAAAACAAATATGAAACAATTCCATTTGATAACCAAATTCGTATTTGTTCCCTTTGTTTGCTCATTTATTTACGACTTTTATTTTCTTTTTCCTAGCTTTCGCTTTCACTTTTAAGCTCTACAGGGATGCCTGGTTACAAAAGAACACAATGCACCGAAAAGTCTTCCTCGCCTTGTTATCATTCCTATAGCAGACTACGTAACAGAGAGCAGAAGCCGTTTGAACTGGACTCTGCGTCATATATTTTATTTAAACGCGCAGGTACTTCAAAGCTAGATTCTTTCACGCAAAATGTTTCGTGGGTTTCATTTTTTTTAAAAGGAATGTCAACAATATGGGAGGTCTAACATATTTCCTCATCGCCCAATGTATATTTTGACTTTTGACTTTACCATCGTCGGAGTTCGACATACGGCTGAATTTCCGCTTGGGACTGTTCAGGCAGTGAATGCTTCCAATATTCCTTTTTCCTTGTGACAAATTCCTTCTCACATCCAAGCGTTTTGCAATTGGTGTTTCCTTTCCCTAGTCACGAAAGCTCTCACCATGAGACCGATTAGCACTTCCGATGCCTGGCATCCCAATAGGAAGTCAAATAGAAACAGCCTTGATTGGCGCTAAAAATATTAACAACACGAGATGTTTCGAGAATCATCTAGTAACAAAGATCTGCTCACTACGCATCAACACCTCTTCTCACAAAGAAGTCTCCACCTCTCACGTTACTATCTGTTGAATGTTACACGAGCTCTTCTATCCGCTTGGTGCCATCGTCACGTCGATAGTAGCGTGATAATCGATGTCCACCTGTCGAGGGGGCAGCTACGTCACCTTATCTGTTGGTCAGAATTAGCATCCGCTGGAATTTCGCGCCCTCAATAAGTGTTTTGGCGCCCTCGCGAGTATGTTTTAACTGTGGCGCGGAGCGTACTACTAAAAAAACTGTTGGTTTGAACTTGTAAACAAAGCCCAATCCTACTGAAAAGGGCTGACAAGTGGTGTTACGTTCACCATGCCTTATAAAATTCATCCATCTCGACGAACATGGACACTGGAAGAAACAAAAATTCCACAAAGAGCATGGACGTTAGAAGAAACGCAAATACCGCACAGGCCCAACTCGGCGCGCCGTGCACCGCCAAGGAGGGACATCCGAGGCGCTGTGATAGTAAACCCATCTTTTCAACGATCTAACGAACCAGTTCTCGAAGAGAATATGGAACCGCAGATGATGGAGGCTCCCATGCCCAGAGCACCTTCCGGCCATCACCGAGTCGCTATAAAGAGAGAGAATATAAACTTGGTACGGGAGTGTGAATGGGATGTAAAAAGCCTTAAGGATGATAATGATGGCAGGATAAAAACAACCCTCAGCAAACCTCTAACTCTTATCTTGGGTTTTGTGTGCTTGACTTCGCTTGCTTCTCTTCTTCTTACCCTACTAGTTGTTTTTGGGTCTGTTGGGACAGGAAATTGCCCGTGTGCAAGAAACAAAGGTAAGAATCACGAATGCTCAATACTGAGTAGACACAACCCAAAAACCAAATCACCGGCCACAGCTAAAATTGAAAGATTATCAGAAACCTAGGGGCGTTCATATTCTACCCCGGTTTTTTTTTGTTTTTGTTTTTGTTTTTTTTCTTATTTGGCTTAATTAAGGTATTGCCCTTTTTTCAGTTATAATAGTAAGTTGCCGTTAAACATGCAGTTAAAGAAGAACTCGATGTCGTAGTAATTATAAGGATTTAGCATCAGGAACTGTTTAACTGTCTGATTAACGTAACTGGAATAACATGGCTGTGTCTGCACTGAGAGGCGGGCACACCCACCGACGCACCCAAACCGAAACCTCCAAACTCAACTGAGCTTAAAAGATGTTTATTTTAGTTAATACCTGACAGCTTTACCTGGCTGCCTGTTGAATGTTAACTATATAATGTTCTGAATTGGTTTATTAAAGTAAGTCATTAGCGGAAATTGAAGAGCCGGACGGCTAAAACAGAAGTTGTTAGACAGCGTGTCTCTTTCGTGTCTTATGGTTCAAGCTGAAGTGCAAAGGAACCAAGCCTAATTAGATCGTTTTAGGATCAGCGTTTATTAACCTTTATTTCCCCAGATAATAAGTGAAGGAAAAACTGCAACCTTTTATTTATAAAATAACAAAAAAATAAGGAACATGATGTCCAAGATGCCTTATTTGAATGGCCCCACCGTAGGGTTTACCCTCGGTCTTAAAAAATTAGCACTAGTAATTATTATATTATTGTCTCATCTCGGATCTAGATCTCAGGGAATTAAAAGGGTAAAGATTAAAAGGACACGAACTAAGGTTTCGTGAATTTTGCGTGTTAACCTTTGTGATCTTACAGTTCTGGACAGCAAGGAAACTAGTTCCTGTAAAATGAAACACTAGGATATTGTCACTTCAAGGCACATGAATCAAAGCATTGTCCGGAAACGGGATTTCTTCCAAGGCTTACCGAGATCAGCAACGGCCCATTGGCTTTTCAAGAATTGGCGAAATATTTCCGAAAATGACTCACACATTTCCCATGATAAAGTCAAAGGGCCTTAAACTTCAAACCACAAATATCTCATCAGGTTTAAGTACGAGTCTGTCTGTCTTTCGCATGCCTTCCAACTTTAAGGTTTATCTTACTAAAGCCGGTCATTATCGACAGTTTGACTGCTCTTTTTTGGCGGCAAAACATTATCAGATATCTTAAGACTGTATCAAGAGAGATATTTGTTTCTCTCGTTTTTTTAATGTACAAGATCCTGGAGAAAAACACCCTGCAACTTTTTTTTTTATTTGTTTTTGTTTGTGTGTTTATTTTCATTCCTTCAATGCGGGCTGATTACCTTCGGAAATCACGTTTTTGATCACATGAAATCGAAACTGAAACGGACGTATCTTTTTCAAGTTTCGGCTGGACATTTCGGCCTAAGGGAAAATTCCGTCGGAGTTCTCATATTTGTCCTAGCGTGTTCTCTACCTAATCAAAGTATTTTTTGACATTTTGATCATATCTTGCTCACTTGAATTACGTTGACCTCCTATCATTATAGTACTACTTTGTGCCGGATGTTTTATAGGGATGTTTAATCTTGAAGTCGAAGGCCAGCTGAGAGGGGGTCCTAAAATGTAAACAGTTTTAACGTTTTAATTTGCGAGGGCAATCCTAAACAGAAGTAGTCATCTGAAGACTGATTGGTTATCTTTCCTGAGTGCTAAAAGTGCATTTTACTGAATTTGAGCGATTGAAATAATCCGACTACCTACAATGTCTACACAACACCTACACTGGTCTTTGAAGGGAAGAGTTGTATTTCAAATAAATCAATTAGATCAGTGTCGTTTCTTCCGATTCTTTGTCGGCGAGGTTGTATTAAGATTGCCGGTTTAACTCGATAAAATTATTGACCTTCTGAGGAGCCTTGAATTCTTAAGCTTTATGTGACCGCCCCTTTTTTTACCTTTCCGTTACTAAAGACAATCTTTTTTGGTAGTAAAAGGTTCTGGTTTTAGTCCTATATCATTTCACCAGAACCGATATGTTTTTGCAGTAGAAAGGGGTTAACTTACACCAACATCGATTGACTATTAAATTGCCATTAATTCCAGATGCCTGCCCATAATTAAGTGACTTACAGCGATCTCAGTAGATGATCAGCAGTGCGACAAAAAAATAATCATGAACTTCTGAAACTGGCAATAAGTTAACTTTGAACAGGTTGTTTTTGTAGTAAAAGTCTCTCAAAAACAGTTCTCTGGAAAAGGGGTAGAACATGCAAAATTGCTTGACTGGCAACGACTCTGTTGATTGGTTTATTTATTTACCCTTTTATCTTGTTTATAACGGATATAGGGATGCCACCTCGTAGTTGATAAAATACCGGAATGCGGCATTTAACTCTATCTATCACTTTAGCCCGGATGCACACAAAAAACATCTTGAGAAGATCACGCGATGTTGTGCCTCGGGCGATGTATTCCCAGTTGGTTGACGCATTTCTGTGGCGAGTCCCGATTAAGTATCACTGGAGTAAATACCCCATTAAATAATTTAGTAATTGCACATACCTAGAACAAAATTGCAGTTGAAATTCTCTTTATTGGGCATCCTTGACGAGAAAAAATGTGTTAGCAGGGAGCATGAATGATCCTCGAAAGGCGGCTCCTAGCGAAGGGTTTTCATCAAAAAGGCTGCCAATAGTCCTAGAATAGTTGTCTGCCTATAGGGGTGTCGTTTAACCGTGCGTTGACTGTATGTATATAGATTTAGCATTATGCTTTTAAAAGCTTGTCAAAAAATTAACGTGAACGGACATCACTTATGAAAGGTTTTTATTAAAAGGAAATCGTAAAGTGGTTACTCAGTATCCACAACGCAGCAACGTTGAAAACCATGCAAAACCGCTTCCTGAATTTTCTATCTTAAGCCATACATTTCTACTTTTTTTATGCATGTTCCCTTAATCAAAAATATCAAATCTCGAGTCTTCACGTAAACAGTCAATGTTAAGTAAAACATTTCGATTGGTCTTGTTGGCATACGGACATATGGACCGAGCTCTATTCGTGTACTCCCCGGCGCTTGATGAAGGCGTCTGTTTCAACTGAACCGAAATCAATTGCGCAAAGAACAATTGTGAAAATATTCCGTTTTCACATCAATTTTTTTTTATCTCATTTTATATTAAAGGGTACCCTGAGTAACGGACAATTCCCTAAAACGGAACCCTTGATCTGTGTGCTTATAGATGTTCATACTGTTTACCTGACGCAGCAGATATCAGTTCCGTGCTTCTCACAGCTTTTGTTTTGTCTTTTCTTATGTCGGTAAAGAAGAAACTCCACAGCTAAAGCTTTTTATTTTATCTAACCCATAATGATGCTTGATTGTTCAAGCATTGTACTGATTTTCTCTTTGCATTTAAAGTTGCTGGAAGCACCGGTGCAATGAAATCTGTTGATGAAGAAAGAACTGTGGATGTATCAGGGAACTTAACCTCGTTGGACAAAAAACTGGTAAGTTAATTTTCTTTCAGTACCCGTATATGCTTACGGTAGGAATCAAAACAGTTGTTTTAAAGAAACATTTGTATCGTCATTCACTTCCTACTGGAGAGAGCGGCCGACCCAAGAGGCACTGAACCGGTTCCACCCTCGATTCAACGAGGTTTTACTGCGCGCTCTCAACCAGTAAAACAGCTGCTCCTTGTCTCGTTCCCCGTCCTTTTTTTCACCAACTTGTTGTTTTCTACTTTTAATGAACTTTATCCAAATTATTTCAGACACCATGCACTTGGAATGAACATTAAGGTTGACGATATGAAAAGTAATACTCAGTCGACTGTTGTTTCATTTTTACCGCATTTAGCCGAGTCTTTCACTTCGGTGTTGACAGTAAGTTCCGCGTTACTGCTTCGGATAACCCTACATTCGATTCTATGCTTTGCAGGCTTTCTACAATTAGTATTTTTATGCTCCAAAAGTATACCTTGGCAGGATTATAAGCTTCTGTATCTGGCCACTTGATCTTTGGAACCCATGGAAATACGGGGCAAAGAGGGGTGGAGGGTGGAGGGGGGGGGGGAGAGGGGAGAGTCAATAGCCTCAGCTGCTCCAGGCTCTCAGCTAGTTTGAACTGTACGTACAGAACCTTTAAACACGTTAGGATATGCACTACGAGTAGTCCCTTATTGTCCTCAGCGATAGCAAAACCAGCGAAATACGCGAATGCGCGTGAAAAGCGGCACCCGCGGAAGGTGACACGCCTTCTATACTAAAACGAGGGACTGCTTTTAATCGACTTTTAATATGGTCGGTTGCGATAGTTGTGCTAGAGGTTGGAGAAAGTATAATGACACAACATGATTAACTGCAGCAATACTTTTAACTTTATTGTTCGTCTGAAAAGCCGTCATTGCCCATTGCAACCCTAACTCAGGGTCCTCAGTCTCGATCAATAATTCATATTGGCGTCCTCTCTATCATTTAACAGGAAGGAAAAATACTTGAGGTAGAACAACGCTACGACTTTAAAGTCAAAGAGGTGAGAGTAGAGTGGACGCTAAGTTAATTAGAGAAGAAACACCTTCAGTAAGTTTTCATATTTTGAAATTAGGTATTCAGGATAACAACTCATTTTTTTTCTTTAAAAAAAACTATGAAGAATATGTTGCCTTTGCTCTGACACTTGCTAATGGTAAGGCATTATAGTCTTCTCGGATAAGGCAAAACATAGGCCCCATCTCAGAGCTGTTTCAGTGTTTTCATTCTTGTCGGACATAAAGATCCCACACTGCTGCTGTTCGACCTGTTCGTAAAGAGTAGGCAACCCAGACCCCGGTGGTGTGAACAACCTATCAGCTTGGGCTGGGTGCGTAATGAAGGGGTAAAAGGCGAGCAAATCCTGCTTCATTGTTTGATTGTGTTGATTCACCTTGACGAATTTCAATAAATAAATAAGTAAACTAAGCCATCAAACTGATTGACGTTTTGCTTTTAACGATTATTTTGACAGCTCCTTGACAAACTTAGTGAATTGCGGCTTACAATTCAGCAACAAAAGATCAACGCAGAGAAGAAAGAACTTTCTCAGGTAAGGCACTGTAGGTCTTCATTACCCAAAAGAGGATCGATCGGTTTCAGGCTTCCCCTACCGGCACTAGGGTAGGGCGAGCTGGCCTGAGGACGGACAGAAGCTTTACATTACTCTTTTAATAATATGCAGCGTTTCTGTAAAGGTCAGGGTACGGTTTTGTCAGTATTAAAAGTCCATGCCCCGGTTGCAATTGTTCAAACGTTTGATAGCTCCATCTACGGGAAAAATCACTATCCACTGGATAGAGAATTATCTAGCGCTGTCCACGTTTTGGACAACTTGAGCCAGAACGATAAGCTTTTAATTATCAAATACTTTAGCACATCAAAGTTATGATTTTCTTTTCAATAGGATCAACAAGAAAAAAATCTGACAGAACGCCTAGCATCAACGCGACTTGAACTGGAGTCACTCAAGGCTCAACTCTCTTGGGATGTCACTAGGCTATGGAATACAACAAACTCTACAAGAACACAACTAAACCACTTGGAAGGCGTCTGGATCATAGTAAATGCTTCATCTGCAAGGATTTCTAATTTGACTAAAAAGGTAATCCTTGGGGGGAAATAGATATTAAATAAAACGAAGAAAATAAAGTTGTGCCGGTCATATGTTTCATAGACAAGTACTCCAAGAAGGGTGCGTCCAGCCGATCACAGACCTTAAGCCTCACCAACACTTTTTTTGATCTTGCTTAATGGGGCGTTTTAGCTCACAGCTACTAGGTTTTATTTCCTTTGTCTTCTTTCATTCCATTAAAAAGGTTAAATATCAATAACCCTAACGTTGTCGATGACATAAAGAAATAGGACGCCATTTGACCCTTCATCATTCGTTCTCCTTCTCATGATAATATTTTTATTTTTTCCTAGACTGATGATGGGTTTGAACGCCTTTCGCGAAATATGAATGCTTCTAATGAAACCTTAGATGAACTGCTGCTGTCTCTACAAGCTTTAAAATTGCAGGTAAATGGAACTACTCAAAAAGCCAACGCACGGATAAACTTAACGTTCAATTTTTTAGACCAAAATAACCACAAATCTAAGCATTAGCTCAGGGTTGATCTATTTTGAAGCCGTTCAAAAAACGAGCAGGAATTATTAGGTGTAACAACTTTCGGCTTCGCTTCGAGTTTTTAAACCTGATAATACACTCCTGCTCGTTTTTTAAACAGTACTTCAAGAACGAGTCATTGCTTCGAGTCTTGCTTGATAGTATTTGAGAATGAATTCCGGACTCTAGTTGCCCTTCCCCTTAAACTTTCCTCATTGGCTTGCTTTAGTCATTAACACGATTGAAATGCACCTAACTTTATTTCTTCTTCAACAATAGATCATCTTTCAGTTTACATCCATTATTTGCAGATTAAAAACGAATCAGAGACGGTGTGGTTCAGGTTTAATCAATCGACGAAAAGTTTCGTTACCTTGAAGTCATCTCTGGAGTCACTAAAAGAAAACGTGAGTATATATTTTAAACAGTTTAAAAGGACTCGTAAAATCTTCTGCCACTTTTTAAACATAATCATGATACCATTTCCTTCTACACTGCGTCTTTAGGTGTCCTATCGTTCTCAAAAACTCGAAAGCAGAATCAAGATGGAAGAACAGAAATCAAACGACACAAGTTATTTGACGGTAAATATAAACAGCTATTAAATAATATGTTTTTATAACGGGTTGGAAAAAGTTTAACGTTTTAGTCTGATTGCATCAGGAGTTATTGTATTATTATTATTATTATTATTATTATTATTATTATTATTATTATTATTATTATTATTATTATTATTATTATTATCATTATAGTATTTCTATGAATTTTCCACCGACCAGAGCATTTCTGTATTTGCAATCAGCTGTGCAATACTTTTGATACAGTACTAGTATGAATCATGGCACTTTCTTGTCATGGCAAATTGTGCCTAATATCCAGTGTAACTGTTTGCTTTCCTTCGCATTTTTCCTTTCTCGATCCTTTCACAATATCCGCTCCTAATATTTCTCGAAAATTCTAATGTCTCTGTCACCAGCAACAACACCACACAAAGTTACAAAACCTCAAGGAGATGTTGAACTCTACACGACAGGCAACAAAAGAAGCGTCTTTGAGACATTTGACAGCGCTGTGGTCTGTTGGGAATAATACAAAGAAAGAACTCTACAAGGTCTGGATTGCGGTGAACAAGTCACAAACAGAACTTGAAGAAAAACTGCTTAAAACAAAACACAACTTCACGGAAGAGGTGATTTTATACTATTTATTTTAAAATGTTGCATGCATGGCTTGTGTTAGGCGAAACCGTTTCGTAAGTCATTTTTCTGCGTTTGACCTATAAGCCATTTTCGGGTTATCTCAAGCCACTATTTCAAAGCGAGGCTAAAAGCGAAGCCCATTGATATGAAAATCCTGGATTTTTTAACTCTCACAGAAATAATACTCATTCTCGCAAGAAGGGATTCCATGCGCTCAAGCCTCGATCGTTTGTGCGGTAGAAATTTGTGTGTTTTTGTTAGTGTCATCAGCGAGAGAGTTATTGATACAAATATTAGCACTATTTTTGGTCCACCATTTATTTTGTTTTCCTGATTTCTCCTACATTTTCTGCAGTTACGCCAAGCAAAAGCTGTTCTTGAGTCATCTGATGCTACATTATTTGCCTCACTAACCAATGTAAATGCAAGTCTTGCAGAAAAGGTGAGAATTGACCCTGGATACGTTACTCATTTTGAGTACGTGTAAAAAAAATAACACAAGACCAGTCAAAGTTTTTATGCGATGATAATTATGTTTACTATGGCTGTTACAATGGTAAAGAAAAAAACCCTAACAATCAGAGTTTTTAGATATATTATTCTGTAATTAACGCGTCCTTTTGTAACTGATCTTGAGAATTATAAATGCCCCATGAATAAATGGAACGTTTTTTTCCTTAGTCTGCTACACAGCCGTTTTTAGTTTCGTTACGCAATTGACGACCCTTAAAACGGCTGTGTAGCAGACTATGGCTCCCTCAGCACCGTCGGAAACAATGAAGACTAATCTGAACTTGAAAGCTTTCTTGATTCATTATCTACAGATAAAAAACGCGAGCAAAATGGCAGGTCCAATTGGACCTCCAGGTTTTAATGGAAGTCGAGGACCCCCGGGTCAAGCGGGATCCAGGGGTGAACAAGGTCCTAAAGGAGCTGGAGACTTCAGCGCATGCCATTATAAACGCGATCAAGAGACTAAAACTGAAGGTTCAGACCAGATAGTTGTGGCCATTGCTGAGTCTAACGTAAGTATTATCCATAAGGTTATTTTTGAATAGGACATTTTGCATGCATGCATCCGCAGAGTTACATGTTACAATTATAGGAATATTCTCACTCATGGATTACTCAATTTTACATCCAACGGAGAGCACTTTGAAACTCAATCAGAGTCATTGTATACCTACTTTGCTATCTAACAGAACGGGCAAATTCCGCCCAGGATATCTTATGTGCCATTAGCCGAAAGAAAACATCTTACAGCTTCCGTGTCACGCTGAAGGGTTAAAGTATAGCCTATGCCAGGCTCGTGCCCGTTTTTGAAACTGTTTTCACGATTTCCCGATTTCTGCACATTACCAGCCTGGGACATGGTAGTTAGAGTAGAAATGAAGACATAAGTGTTTGTTTTGAAGATTCAAGCCTGCATAAAAAAAAATTAAATAATTTCCTGCCTTAAAGGAAAAAGTATTAGGTGTTAGGAAAAGCAATCATGCTGAACACTGACAGGATGATTTTATATTTCTTCACAGGGAAAGAGACTACTAGGGGTAACATGTTCCACAAATTCTGCAGAAGAGTATAATCTTTTTTCGATACTAGATGGCAGTGTGAGACGATACAGTTGCATTTGTAAAGGAACGTCCACACTTTTCCCAATTCGTTCGGGAGAGCAAATGACCTGCTATATGAACTACTGGGAATGCCCTTTAACAACTTAAGTAGTTACCTATCGCTATCTTTTATTAGACGCGAAGAACTATTAACATTAAATGAGTTGTTTAGACCAATAGATGGTGACAGTGCCACGAGGACACCAATAATTATATATAGACCAATAATTTTATGTTATAAGAAAAGGCATTTAAGACGCAACATTGGTATTGTGAAGTGTATAATAGTATCCTGCGTGCTGCAAGGCAGAAGTGTTTTTTTCTAATTAACAAACTAGAACTGTGAACATGGACAGAAGATTTCAAACGCTTAAGGGAGACGACCTAGACGCTGAAAAGAGGTGAAACAAAAAGCAATACAGAGATTTACAATCGCGTTCACGGCAAACGGCAAACGCGACTTTTTCAAGTTTGCTGTCTCTCAAATTAAGATATGAGAACTGGTCACGTGGTTCAATTTGACGTTTGCCGGTTGTCGTAAACGTGCTTCTAAACTGGCTCTCAAATGATAGCGAGAACAAAACTGCTGACGTTTTGGACGTAAAATTGTCTGGTTTGGTCAACATACTATCACGGTTGAAAAGAAGGAAAATGATTTTGTACGTATCGGTTAACTCTGACAAGCCAGATTTTTTTCGCTTTCTTGGTATTTTATGGTTGGTTCAACTTTTGTCAACGAAAAGTCGTCTTCCGAACTGTCGCGAGACAGGACAACATTTTGCCGTCCCAAAAGGTAGAATAGCCCAGTATATTTCGAATAACAGGAGCCAATCAAATCGCTCTAAAATTGCTATCCACTGATTTGGTTAAATGCTTTAATGTATATATATGTATTTATTTAATTTAGTTTGTATAAAAACGATTTTTGTAAATAGGTTGTAAAAAGTAATACACAAGTCATCTATTATTCATTTTCGCTAGTTTTTCAAATTAAATTTATTGAGATCCTTGAACCCTCTTCCCAATCAAAATTTCCCAGTACCTTTTTTTCTTGTATCCGGCCCTTTGTTGCTGTTCCATTACAGTCAAATCTGGATGGTTCTGAAGGGCTGGTGTAGAACATGTTTTCTGGTGGTCATATGAAGAACTCTAACACTACATAGCTTTGAAAGAACACCCTCTGAAAGCACAAAGAGGAGTGTTCATATAGTGTCATGGTCATTGAATATGAAATAAGTCAGACTTAGGAATATATTCTGAAAGAAATTGTAAATTTGTAATCATCAGGATTTCTATACCGCTATATTTAACTTTAAGCTTCAAATACGATTGTTGTAAACAGTGCAATTTGTTGAAATCAAAATCCTTGTAAATAGCTTTACCTTACTAGTTGTAAATACAAACTTTATTATAGAATACGGCATTAAAGGAAGTAGTTGCTCACGAGTTATTGGTAGCTCCTCATAAAATATTGTGCAAATGCCGTATAGGATTCCAGTGGAGCCGAAAACAATTGTAGAAATATGCTACTAATAAACGCTTTAATATAAAGTTGATATTTCCTGGACCATGCAAGAATCGTAATATAGTATGTCCCCTTCTAATAATATTCTAGCCTATGAATCGAAAAAGCCACTGCAGTCTCTACTCCATCTGGTAATCTCCTTTATTCCATAGTATTTTAACGGTGGACTGGTAACCTCAATTAGTGGTTACGAGATTTTGTACCTGTAGGCCTATACTAGGTTCGTTTCCTGACCGGACCAACATGCACGATCTTGAAATGAAAATTAGGAAAAACTGCACAGCAAATTCTGGTCTGATTCACGTGGAAAATATCTTTGGCAGTGAATATTTCTAGTGTCTATCTGTGATATGGAGCTGCGTGTTTAATTTAAGTATTCCAAAAATGGTTGTGGCAAATGACCAGAAAATGTCCCGTTTAAGCGATATAATCATTAAATTGGGCAAGTTACAGCAGGTACTAGAAAAGGGATGAAAATCTCTTCTTTTTAGGGGATGCCATTTATAAATGGAAGGTATGCGAAAAAGGTACATTTTGTGTGAAAAAACTATATAAACGGGTCAGGGCTGGGACCTACCCTATGATACTTTGTACAGATCAGTGGGGGGTCCAGACCTTTAGATAAGGAGGGGCCGATCATCCAGATCCTGAGATAAGTGAAGGGGGGAGGGGTGCTCTCAAAAAATTTTTTTCGGCCTTGCGGGACTCAGTTTGGTCTAAAAATAAGGGGGGTGGGCCCCCGGGCCCCTCCCTTAGATCCCCCACTGCAGATTTCCTCGAGATGAACTCTAGCTATAAATGGCTACGTTACACGATATAGATGTATAACCAAGCGCTTTATATGATAGTGAATTCTGGATGCCTGTGTGGACGTTTCTAAGAGATGAAGCAAGGCGCTTGTCTCTGTAATACTTTCAGGGGAAAATGCGTCGGTGAGCGAAGTTTGACTTATCAAGTGAAGCCCGATGTAATTGTGATTTACAAGCTTTTCGAGTGTTCTCCCAGCATCCAAGAAGTGGGTTACGACGCCGGTAAAACCCATAGAAAGTGTGATCTATTGGTTGTATAAAATACTTTTAAGTTTTCTATGAGTTTACCGGCGCTTTTTAACCATTCAGAACGTGCGTACTATCTTAGTTAGTTATTTTATAAAGAAGAACCATTTATTAACCCTTTTAAGCTCCTTAATCCGGTATCCTCATACAAATTCTCCAGAATGATCTTCAAATATTTCTTATACTAAAAAAATTAGTGGAGAGAATTTGTTGAAAGATCCGAAGATCAAAGCATTTTTTTTTTCCATTATTGATCATTTTATTAAAATTCAAGTAAACATTTTATTGGCCAGGAGTATTTGTTGATATGGGTAGGAGAAAGTTGATGTTGATCACTCTTCAGGCACTGATAGGATTAAGGAATATATATATACCAAATGGGCGTGGATAAAACTTTGTTTTAAACCAATAATGAAAAGATTACTTCAAATATAATTGATTGATGCTCAGCACTATCATGCAACACCATTTAATAAACGTATAAACTTCACTTTGTTAAAAGAACTTGAATTAAGCGATCCACCATGAAATTTTCATGAGCATATCAAACGACTCTTTTCTTTTCTTTTTCTCTTAATGACAGATTTTATAGCGCATGCTGACGAGAGAGTGATCTGTTGTCAAGTATCGAATAGCTTGCTGGTCAGCTTGAATGTTCTTCAACTTTTTTAATGAGTGTTTCTTTAGTTTATGAAGCTATTTTTAATTGTAAAGCGGGCAAAACCAAACGGGGCTCATAGTGCTCCTTTTCATTAATAAATTTCCCTTTTTCACGACTAATTTAAATATATGTGAAGATTGAGTTTCAAAGGACGCAAACAGCACGGAAAACACAATGCTTTTGTGAGACAAGGCGTTATTCATGATCAGTCAATTTGGGAAAAAAGTGAATGCAATACGTCCCCGGGAAAATGCCACGGCTCTCGACTCTAAGTAAGACAAAATGATCACCGCATGCTAGATTTTACAGCTAAACACAGCTTTTCAGCTTACAAATCCTAACAGGTGTCTCGTTGGGAAAAAATGTGAGAAAAGATCAGCCGGTCTTAGGAATGTTATGTAAACAGACTACAAAAGGAAATCAGGCCAACGTAGGTCATCAGATCAACAACTTGCACGTGGGGTACAAGATACCGCAGTAGCCGAAACTGGCATAGTTTTGTTTCATTTCACTTTGTGACCACAAAGTTATCGCATGACTCATACACTCTAACAACAACACTTTTGTTGAAATCACAACTAGCAATGCAAAGGACAAAACAAAATGGCGACGCAGTTTTCACTTGTGAGATGGAATTAGCACAAAGGGAATCTTCCAGTCCGAGACGATCGAACGGCAAACTAACACCGCTCGATACTGTCCCAGAGGACGATGTGAGTAGACCAGGGAATGGGAATACCTGTCGGGAAGGTATGTCTGACGACATCGACATTAACGAAAATGAAAGCCCTTCGGAAAGAGACATTATCCAAGACAACACATGTGGAAAATCAAGAGATGGACTATGTAATGCCTTTCGTGACAGACTGCGGAGGATTCGAGGAAACTGGTTACATTCCTCAGTCAGCCCCACCACGAATGAAGTCACTGTTTATGTTAAAGGAGAGAAGGAATACGCTGCAAACATTCCTCTACCTCTGAAAGAAGACAATAATGAGGAAACCCTCCCCAACAGCATTGCTTCACCACGTATACAAAGAGGGTGTTTCTTTGTGCCTTTCATTTCTATCATTCTTGTTGTTATCTTTATCATGTCGGCTACAAGCTTAACTTTGGTGATAATGATCATAAATGGCAAAATTGTTGCAACAGAGGATGGAGCTGCAAGCCTAGCTAAAGGTATTTATTAGTTGATGAATACTTTTTTCAAATTAATCAGTATTACGTAAACGTACCACAATTTTCTAGCTTCGACTGTCTCTCTTGTAACATACATGTACATTCAAAACTTAATGCCGAAGAGCAAGACTAAACTTAACTGTTTTGAAAATTTCTCAACTTATCCAAACATTTTCTTGTTCACTGTATCGCGACCGGCGTTCGCATAGAGGAAATCCAGGGATAATTTCAGTTTCAGGAATGTTTATGTTCAAATGCAACCGGCGGAGATCAGCTTTTGCTTTATTAGTCAATTACCAACCGTCAAATGTTATCATATATTTTCGTCAAACGGAAATGCCTACTGCTAAAGTTAAGTGCGCGGAACATGGATCGATTTAAAATACATCATGAATCTGACACAATTTTGATTGGTGGTCTTCCAATTTCCCTATAGATTTTATAATACGCTCATCGCAGAGAGCAGAATTGCAATTAAATGAAGAAATCTCTTAAGCTAATGCTGTCATGAAACGGAACATTGTCTTAACAGTTATAAAAAAAAAACTTTTCTAATCGGGCAAACTTGTAGCCTTGTAACTCGTTGTTTCATCTACAAATGAGTCAGGAGAAAACATTAAATGGTAAAATTAAGCCTACATTAAGAATTTAATTTGACCAATCGAAACACTTCTGAAACCACTGATTCATTAAAGACCATTAAAGGCCGTTTTCCATATGCAAGTCCAGCGCCAGCAACATATAGATGAAGTTGCGATTGCAAGTTATTTTTATTACAGTAACTTCAATTCTTGGATGGTCAGTGTGGTAAATAGAGATCTAAATGATTAAAACCACTGGTTATCTTTATCCAAGATTGCTCCCAGGGTCTGTCAAAACAAAATGGACAAAATTATTTTTTAGGTTAATGTTAGATAAATTTCATCTTCTAACTATAATCTCAGTTTTCTGGTCAGAAACTTGAATGTCTTGTTTTCGGCAAAACTAATAGACGGTCAACAAAATTTAGGATGCCCTCTGTTTAAAACAGCGTTTCCTCTTGCAATCAGTTAAAGAAAAAAAGGTTGTTTAAAACACCACTCCAAAAAGAAACGATGGAATGTACTTTAGAGGGCATAGTGGTTGTTTTTGGGGGAAGGGGTTGATTTAGGGTAGAAGAGATATACACATAAACCAGTTAGTCTGCTAATAGATTCCTTGTTTTGATGGTGAGACTATCTGGTATGTGTCTCAAATGATTTCCTTCAAAATTCTGATACATTTATTGAGCCATTGACTACGACCTTAAACAGCCTTTTTTATCACTTTTGTTCACCATTATCAATTTTTTTCACCATTTGCCCAAATTGTAGAAAACCAATTGGTTAACCCATGTATAGTAAAATCAGAATGACACTATGTCTCACCCATTATAATAGAGAGCTTTAGATTCTAAGACGAGTACGACTACGAGTACGAGATTTTCTCAATACTAAGTGGTTTTCGCGCGAATGTCGTGGTGGCGGGAGACAAGTTATCAAATGTTGGAAGTTTTATCATTTTGCGATCAGGGGAGGGCGTAACCTCCTTCACGAAAAGAAAGCTTTCCGGGAAGTCTATATTTTGAGAAGACGCGAAAAAACTTGAAGTCAAATGTCGTACTCGAAATCGTTCTCGTCATTGAATCTAAACGTCCCTGTTATTACTAAATTTTAACATTACTTCTGCGCCATTTCCTGTTTTACATTTGAAATGATAGATATCCATTTCAATCTCTGATTTCCGCAAGCTTTTTAATGATATTATATACATGACAACAACCGACTTGATAATATTTAAAAAACTCGCAACCTGATCTCATTCCGGAACTACAAAGATGCTAAACATGAAAATGGACCAAAACCGCATCGTTCGATCTTGTCCTAAGTTCAGAAGTTCCAAAGTGCAAAATTTAAATGCGCTTTAGAAAATTCCTTCTCATCAGAATATATGCAGCAACGTATATGTTACTTTTATTTCATGGACATCAGATTGTAGTTTTATGCATTGACCGAAAAGTAATCTAACATGATATTTCAAATTGATTAAATTCTGAGAAGAAGCCTAGTTGTGTGGAGATGGGATTGTAAGGGGAGGGGGGGTGGGTGGGGAGTAATCATCGGAATGCTTGGCGGGAAACCCCTGCATCAGTAACCGAAAAGAAGCAACTGAAACATGAAAATTATATTTAATTTGTGATTTTGTTAACAGCCATTACCTTATACATACCAATTTCGAGACCAAAACGGGAGACTAAAAGCATACCCATTTGGAGTCACTGTGGTTAATATCCGTATAGGAGTAAGTGAGGTGAGTACATTACACCCTCTCCTCTCCCCTCCCCTGTGTCCTAGGGGCTCATGAGTTCTTGTACACGTTCCTCTGCACCAAACATAGCACATTTCACGTGATCTCAGTAATTATTTACCCTTTGGAAATTTACTGAATTCTTTAGCGCGCGTGGGTAAGCGTTTCGGCTTTGATTGACCAAATCATGCAGCTCGAATGACATAACACAAAACGGGCACGTATTGAGAAACTCATTCAGTGTAGATTGAATAATTCCTGCCACGACCTGCTCGTAGTGCCCCGCTAGTGCGTAATTTTTGAATACGTATCAACTTGACAAGGGGCTTCTAAGACCGTAAGAGATGTGTGAGCCAGCTAAAAGAGATCACAGCTATCTTGTATATCATTTTGAAATGGGGTCTGTGGATGGGACCTACTCCAACATTGCATTTGGAAACGACGAATCTTCGGCTGGATCGAAGAGAGAAAATACCGCGTGGGACACGAGCCAGACGGAAACAAATCCAGTGAAAAAAGAGAACTCAAGTCAGTGCAAAAACAGTCAACACACATACGAGACAGTTGACAGAAATGCAATCTTTGGAGGTGAGAATTGGGAGAGGGAAAAGATGGACGTCCACAGCCCCTGGTTTAATAGTGAGAAGATGTCAGTTCCAGAAGGGCAACGAAAAGAGCGGCGCAAAAGCATGAACTGTTTTGCAGTTGAATCAAATGGTGATGTCTACGTAAAACTAAGAAATGAGAAAGAGTCTTCAAGAACGAAAGCGTCCTTCCAGGAAAATGGCGGGAAGCAAAAAGAACCCGACGAGGAAACAGTCTCGGCAGGAAATAAGCAAAACATGTCGACGTTGAAGTTCCGTAAGAGTATTCAGTTAATAGCCATACTGCAAGTGTTGATTTTCTTAATGGCTGCCGTCAGTTTGGCTCTTGTGATTATGTTAATAAATGGAACGATCGTTAGTTCTGCAGCCGTCAGAGGAGGTAAAAAGATTGGTTAAATATCTTATTGCTATAATATATAAATTCAGAAACACAAAGAGCTATAAAAGGAAATTTAACGCTACCAACTGTACTTTTTGAAAACCGCATCATAACCTGTATAACATCTTGACATTACAGTGCTTTCTTTCAAAAATTACTTAAGAGTCTTAACGTAGATTAGAGGACAAGAATTTAAAATCCAAACAGACAAATAATCTTAAATTCGATCTGGCATATTTGTTGCCATATTTTTGATAGTCCCGGCGGTCCGTAGGAGTTAACATAGTGGGTGCGGCTCCTAACTCGTGTATATTAGCGCAAAAAAAATATGCGACTATCAGCATCAATTTTTCGCGCCATTTGGATCATCGTGTGTGGGTACAATAGGTGTGCAAACGTTTTTAGACGCTCGATAGGTGGCCGCCTGTAAATTATGATTTTTCACTGGATCACGGCTCTTTCGCTCTTCCATTATTTTTTTCATAATTGGAGTTTGCAGATCAATTACAGGTTGATTATGTTCAGTAAAGTAGCGTGACTTCTCCTGGCAAGACTTTGTCGATTACTCCAATCAAATTAGTTATAGACGCCAATTTTTTCTTTCATGGTGAAGTTTTTTTCTTTAGTAGTTGTTTTTCTTTATTTACTATTTTATTAACTCATTTATTTTGTGAGATCTAAGATTGTGGGAAAGGGATCCTGCAGCTCACTGAAACAGATCTCGAACTGTTTTTTTCTTTTCTGTTTTTGTTTTTTTAGTTTCATTTTCAACTTCCCTGATTTGTTTAATCCTACAGCGTCCAACAAAACAAAAGCAAAATAACGTTAACAATGTCATTTTAGCCTTGACATTGGACTCTGAACCAAATTAAACTCACATGCAAATCACACCACACCCTCATGTTCTGATATTAATTAATAAAAGTACTACAGCCCAATTCCCCCTGTATAAGTTTCTGGCACGTTTTAATAACACACTACATTAAGATAACGCTTTACTTTTCGGAGCAATGTCTTGAGATCGTTCCCAATCAAAAGAAGCAAAAAAGAGGCGATCAAATTAAAAGAGCAACTCGGTGCACAGACAATTAGCTCAAGCTCGAAATATGTGCATCGGCAGTGTTGCATAACCTTCGAATTATGCCCGAATTTGTCTGAACCATTTTTTTCTGAAACCTTAACATTTGAAAGAGATTTGAAGAGAAGAAAAGGCTTATCTCACTCACGTTGAAGTTTTTCTTCCTTTTTGTGTGGTCTGCGCGCCAATTTATGGCCATTTTTGGGGTTTTTGTAGAACCTCGTTTGCTTTTATCAGGGGCACCCAACGAGAATATAGTTCAAAACCAGTTAAACATAGCATTGTTGAACGTATTTTAGTATTTAAACAGTAGATATAGGTATATTTTTATCCCCTAAAAATTTTTCATCTGTGCGGATTTCGTAGCTGAAAGTCTAGTGATCCGAAAACCATGAGGGATCAAAACTTACCTTTTCGAAAATTTCAGCCAGAAAAAAGACTCCTGAAAATTCTAGGTGACCTTTTTAGGGTAAAAGTCCGTTAAAAATGGGTAATTATACCATTTTTTAGATGTTCGAAAACCCTAGGAGAGGCAGGCAAGCAAGAAATTTTACAACAAATGTTCCGAAAATTCTAGATCTCAAATCGTCTTCTGAACAGATATTTTCCAAAAACTGACGTTGGGTGCCCCTGTTTTATTTCGCAGTGGCGACGTTCATATTTCGAGCTTGGGTGTCCTGTGCACAGGTTGCCATTTCTCTCGTCTGGTTAGATTGTTATTTCTAAAAAAAAAACATTTAACAATTATCTAAAAATTCTCAAAAAAGTAATTCTAACAAGGAATTCAAACTAACTGGACATTTTAGATATCGATTGAAATCTAGGCGGGATTAAAAGATCTGATATAAAGGGAACATATGCAAGACATAGAGTACATACAATGCCTTTTTTTGTTTTTTTCAGATGCAGCAAAGCCAGAAAAACAAACTGACGTCCCATGTAATGCTCAAGAAATGAAAGAAGAGATTGCTAAACTAAAAGAAGAGCTGGACAACGCTAGAGAAGAGCTGCAAAAATTAAAGAATACAAGTGACTTCCTGAGAAAGGAACTTCAGGAAATGAAAAATTTTACACCAGTAGGGATAGCAAAGAATGTTACAACTAAGGTTTGCAAGTTTCGTGTGATTTTAGTATTTTATCTTATTTTACATTTTTTACATATCTCGGATGGGAAGAAAAAGATTTAGTGTTTTCTAGTGACATACACTGTTTTGTTACTTATCTAAATACATACATACTTACATACATACTTTATTAGTATATACACACTCAGTGATCTTGGTGATTTAAGCAATCTGATTGGTTCGCTATCTCGGGCTATTCAACAATATTCACCTCCTAGCGAGTGGATAATTAATGTGTGAGCGCGGATTTTTTCCCATTTTCTTAGAGAAAGATCTTTTAAAAGTCGACAAAATCCTAGGGTTGACTTTTCTTCAGGCAAGAAAAGACTTCGAAGGATTCAAAACGGCGTTTTTCCATTTACTGTTGTTGAATTTTGTGGTCGATGGATTGTTTACAACTCCCGTTTATTCGCCTAGAAGAGGCCGTTTCGTGAACTCAGCGTTTCCTAACAAGAAAAATTTGGCCCAAAAACGAAGTTTCTCTATGACAAACAAATCTGAAAGCAAATGTTTGCAGAAATTCTACGTTTCAAGTAAACACGAGAAAGAATGCTACGTGAAGACGACGTCTTACCTCGAGGAACCGAATCGCCATTTTTGTCAGCACTTCATGCGAAGAACGACACAACAAACCTTTTCGGCTATAAACTTGGCAAGTCAACAGAAAACATCAAAGCTCTTCTTTTCGTCTCAGGTAAGGAAACAATTCAAACTTTTAGCGGTTCCATTTAAGTCATTACGCTGTTGTTTGCGAAGTGATAAGCTTGTGAATTGCCATGTTTGAAAATTCTACAAAGATCTATTTTTAAACTGTCGCGTGTCTAGCTGACCTGATCTGTCAATCAAATCGTACTTTTGAATGGTTTCCTCTCTGATTTTATTGAGATCACTTCGTGTGTATATACTAAAACAATTATTCTTTTCAATCTCGGTGAATAGTGGCTTTAGGAATATTTACCTCGCCACTTCGTGGCTCGGTAAATATTTTGCCACTATTCACCTCGATTTCAAAGAATAATTGTTAATTATTTCCTCCCCAAAGGGGCTTTTCAGGAACAATGATTATATACACCTTATTCGATGGTTTAGCATATAATAGGTGCGGATATTTTGCAAGTTGCGTAGTATTTTTCCGAGCCCCGCAGGGGCGAGGAAAAATACGAGCAATGAGCAAAATGTCCGCTCTTAGTATATGCTAAACCATCGAATAAGAGGTTTATTATTCCACTACAAGAAAAAAATTATCTGGCAATTGGCTTCTATTTTTTGGTGAGAGTATTCAGAGACATCCTGATTCTATCTGAGAGAATGACGAATTAGCAAAATGTTCGCGCCTATTATATGCCAAACCATATGAGAGGTTAATTATTTTACTGCAAAAGAAAAATGGTATTTTGGCTTCTATTTTCTAATGAGAGTATCCAAAACATCCTGATTCTGTCAGCCACAGTTGCTCCTTTTGCATCCGCTGGTATTCGCCCTGTTGTAAACCGGTTAAACCAGGACACTACGGTGTATTACGGCCTCGTATTTTGCTTGTTCTCTTGACCTTATATGGTAAAATGACAAAAAAGTGGAATAATAAATTACATTATTTATAATAACTAATTACAACACTTAATGTAATACTAATCACAATGTAAGCTAATTACTAATTACAATGTTTTAAACTTAACTAAGAAGTATTTACAAAATTATCTAAAAGCTGGCTCCTTAAGAAGCGTTTAAAAATTTCAACAGATGGGCTTAACTCAAGAAAAGATTCCACACTGTTCCAGAGTTTGATTAACAGTCCTGTAATAAAAGGTTCTCTGTCCGGAGGCAGTTCTGAAAAGAGGGATGTTTAGCTCTTGGCTACTCCCAGTTGTTCGTTCGCTAACTTGCTCACTGGTAATAAATTGGGGTTGTAAGATATTCAGGGGCATGACCGGTCATGGATTTGAAGGCCATAATAGCTTGGCGTAGTACAGTTGGTCCTTAGCAGGCAACCAAGACAGGCTTTTTAAGAAGGGTGTTGCATGATCATATTTTTTCGCACCGCTGACGATTCGGCAAGCAAAGTTTTGAACCGCCTGCAATTTTCGAACAGTAGTACATTTTGCTGAAGACTAAGGCATGTATTACGGTTAACAACGTTTATTATTCATTCACAATATTTCCCCGATTCTGATTGGCTAAAAGCACACGCATAATTCACCATAACCAGTTGCTGATGACCAAATTTGGAAGAATTTTGTGTTTAACGAGGAAATGACGTCAAAACTGCAGCGTTTTTGCTGTTTAATGCACCGTTAACCGAGAAGACCTGGGGACGAGGTTGAGTTGTTTTGGTTGTGGAAACAAAAATGGCGGACATTTCACTTGTTTCAAGAGTAAGAACTAGGCGAAATAATAGCTAAAACCATGGTAAGAACAGCAAGAAGACAACTGGAAGGGCGGCATCTGCTATTTGGAGAATATTTGCGGAGCTGAACAACCCTAAACGTGCACTATCGAAGATGAACTTAACATCAATGGATCGATGGAGGCAAGCATGTTTTAGCTATGTTTTTAAACTAGGAATTATTTTGAATGAATAATGAAACAATTATTGAATTCGGCGTTCGTATCATATGAAGGGCCTACGGCCTACGGCCTTGACGGATAACACCCTCCTCGATCTCCATAATTTTTCATAAGATACTTAGCCTCATTCATTAAGACACTGAGGTCGTTGCATGATTACCAAATGTTAAGTTCGGATCCAAAATCACGCCAAGATCTCTCGCTGATTGCACTGGGGAAATGTCCTTTCCCAACAAAGACAAGTGAAATTCATGGAGCTTAGAGGTCATCTGTCGGCTCCCGAAAACAATTAATTTTGTCTTGTCTGGATTCAGTAGTAGCCGATTTCCGAAGCACTAGTTGCGCAACTGCGGGAGATTTTCATTCATTTCTTGGACAATCCGTTGGGAGTCGTGTAAATTAAAGGAAACAAACATTTTGTATCGTCTACATAGCATTCTGTTGAGCAATGCCTTTGAACTTCTGGTAGATCATTTACGTATGTGCTAAATAACAGGGGGCCTAGAATACTTCCTTGAGGAACGCCACATTCAAATGGAAGAGGTTTAGAAACAGAACTATGAATTTGTACAACTTGATATCTGTTTGTAAGGTAGCTGTTAAACCATTTTAGCGCGCCAGTTGCGGCGCCGACGCTTTGTATTTTGCGTAACAATATTTGGTGGTCAACGCTGTCGAAGGCTTTACTCATATCTAAAAGCACGCAGGCAGTCGATTTCTTATCATCAATTCCTTTGAGAAATGCATCAGTTGTGTGAATTAAAGATGTCTCAGTAGAGAACCATTTTTTGTTGCCGCTTTGTTTTGTGGTAAGCCTTTCCTTGGTTGTCAAATAGGTGACAAACTGATTATAAGCCACTCTCTCGCGAAATGACAATGCTGGTAGCAGGAAAACCGATCTGTTATTGTTAGGAAGTTCGTGGTTGCCTTGTTTGGGAGTAGGTGTAATTTCGGCGGTTTTTAATCTACTTGTAGGTCAAAAAAAGTTCTGAGAGAGCAGAAAAAGTCAGCTTCGAGTTGATGCTTAACTCCTCTCAACAAAGTGTAAAGAATATTTTGTCAGCCGTATGGAGTTCTTTAAACACGACTGATAAAGAACGCCGCGAAGAAGCAACATCTCTACGATTTATGGCCAATTCAACAAAGGCAGAAATTCGGAAGGTACTGAATATATATTATGATCCGTCAAATTAAATGTTTAATTTCTTAGTGCTACAAAGAACTTGGATGGACTTTTTACAGTTTAACAAACATGTATTTAGGCTATTGTATGTGTGTTTTAAACGTCTGCAGTTCTCTCTTGTCAACTAGTGTGTAGAATAAACAGTCTATTAATTTTCATGAATTCCTAGTTCCTCCGTCGATGTTTTGTGTTGCTATTTTTTTCTTTCTGAATAAAAAAGTCAAACAGTCTACAACCCCTTTTGAATGTTTTCTTTCCCTACTCTGCTTATAAATAAGTCCCGAAAAAGTCTGATTTGCCTCTTATATGTTCTATTAACTAAGATTTGTTGTCTCAATGAAGGTGTCAGACGGCTTGAAAAAACTTGAAGCTAAAGTACGAGTGGAGGAGAAGCGATTGAATGAAACGATGTATCTTAAGGTAAAGATTTTCACATCAACCCAGATTGAAGTCGATCTTGCAAGCAACTAAATATGGAGAGGAGACTTATCCATTGAGAATATGTATTTTCTTTTCTTTTTTTAACGTCCGCAAAATTCATTGCGGGAATTGAACTTCTAAATAGAGGCTCCTTGGATTTCATTCTTTTTTTTTCATTTCACCAGGCGACCAGTTAAATACCCTTCACTTGACACTTCCCTAATCTCAACTGGCAAGCCTTGTTTTGGAAATTCTTTTCTGCTCTGATTGGCTAAAAGCTTTTTGCGCGAAAGTAACTGCCTCTCTCTCCCCTAGGCTGGGATGTTTCATGACGAATCCCCAAATTTTTTCTCTATTATTAAATATTATTAAGTGACGTACTGACTTCTGGGCCTGCAAGACTTTGCAGGAAATGAATGATAAGGAATGTTTTGTTAAATTATTCGTTATAATTAACAGGAGAGACATTCAAAGGACTTGGCATCCCTGACTATGTTAATGAACAGAACAAGGATGGATGTGATGAATATGGAAGCCCGCTTGTGGAAATCAATGAATTCAACTGACAAAAAAGGAGATAACGAAATATGGGTTGCACTTAATAACACCAAAATGGATCTGCAACAAAAGGTGAGAAAGGTAGCCCTGACGTGAGCCAAATACCCCTACATCAAGTTTGTTACTCAGCCGATTTAGTGTCCTTCTCCGCCTTGTGGGTAGAATATATTTTGCGAGCGCACTTAAATCGGTTTTGTAAAAGGCTAAATACCCTACGTATCGTAAATACTCAAATTTTACCTTACCGCACTCCGTGATGTTTGACTTAGGCTACAACAGCCAACTTAAATGACGAAAATAATGTAACTGTGTAGTGTGCAACATCAATATAGACCGAGAACATGATGTCTCGTAAGAACTGTCCAGCAGTGCAACTTAGTGTAGATATATATGAACCTCACAAATAAACGGTGACTTTTTACGCTTAAATGAACCCTGGACATGCACATTATCCAACGCAACGAGTGAAATCAATTCGTCTTTATAATAGATCATTTGATTCAAATTTCCTCATCCTCCTTCATAATGTCGAGGAGACCTAACTGAAGTAATATGTGAGAAAATAAGGTCACTCACAACACGGCAATCTCACTCGAATCTCAAGCTAACAGGCTGAGAAAAAAATACCACAAGATAATAAATGGTGATAATTTATAGCGAGAGCTTGAGCAAATCCGGTAATACCTCCCTCTCTCTTCTTTCTTTTCTCAGATAAACAACATCAGCAAGATGGCCGGGCCCATAGGACCTCCGGGATTCAATGGAAGTCAAGGACCCGCGGGACCTAAGGGATCCATGGGGCCACCAGGCCCCAAAGGAGCTGGAGACTTCAGCGCATGTCAGTACGAAACTAAGAAAGGATTTACTAGTGGAGGATCAGACGCCTCAGACGCCTCCGTGGACGAACCTAGTGTAAGTTAGTACATCTTGTATGTAGGTTTAATGTTTATTACTTTTTCCGTCATTTCAGCAAAAGCTAGTTAAGTTTGCTTTGACCTGAGAAAGGTCAGTTGCTGTGTTCCAAGGCTGACCTTTTTAGTATTTTGCAAATTAACAGATAGAACAGTGAATCAGAGATCCCTGAAAGTTGTCTTATTTCTCTTTTCAGGGTTCGGTTATAATCGCAGCGACCTGCTCCACAAACTATGCTGCAGAATATAACCTTCTTTCCACGTTGACACCCCCGAGACGATATATATGCAATTGTAAGGGAACGTCAGGCGAATTTCATCCTGGTACAGGCGTGTCTAAGACATGCTACCTTCACTATTGGCTCTGCCCCAAAACTTAAACTTATAAAATATATCTGTCAGTAGTACAAACACTAACAGGTTTAAGTGACGGCCTGAAGGGGCTATGACGCAAGGATATTGCTGTTTTAGGTGGATTGCTTAAGTCGTTACTTAGCCCCTTTAAAGGGACTGTGTCACGGCAGTCCAGTTCATTTTGTTTAATTTTGCCAATTACTCGCCCTCAATCACTATGGAACTTAAAGTAAGCAAAGAAATTACATGTAAATGACAAAATCAGAGATCCAAGACAAACAAATAAGTCTCCTGAGCATCATTCGTGAAGTTGCAAGCAGCAGGGGTCAACTTTGAAAAACTGCTAGGCTGAACAGTTTTCAAAAATCCTTATTTCAATCCGTTTCACTCTCCTTCAGTTTTGCCCATCCGTGACATCTGTTGTTTCTGTTATGTTATTTTAACCTTGCTTTAAAGTTTTAAGTGGTTATCTTTATGCTTCTCTTAATTTAACGGGCATTTTGTAATTTCCTAATTTGGCTGAATTTCGTGACACAGCTCCTTTAACCATTCACAAAATGCTCCTGCAGAGTCAGAAAAAAAAAGTCAAACAAATTTTAACAGGGAGCAGCAACCATATCAATTTTTGGTGATTTTTGTGGGCCTAGATTAAAAACGTTTAAAAATTGGTCCAATATTTCAAGTTCAGAATTCAAGCCTATCCTTGCCATGCGTAGTAACAGACGAAAGGAAACAACTGCAATGTTGCCTTAAATATAACAAAACTGTACCTTTTTGGGAATTCAATTGATATGAAGATGTATTTAAGCTTTTTGTAAAATAGAAAATATCAGGACATAGCCGCTTTGAACGGAGGGGACGACGCCTCGTCCCTCTCGAAAGACAGGCTTTTTATAATTTATTATAGTGACCGTGAGTTGCGTTTCCTTACTTTTAACCCTTTATGCTTTTCCATTTTTATGGTGCTAAAGTGGAAAGTTTGATGAAATAAAAAAAACATTAAACATAGCGTCTTAAATTATTATTTAATTTCAGTTATTCTTGGCTTTTTTGTTTAATGGGGCAGTGATATTATTTAAAAATGGAAGACGTAGGCTTAAAGGGTTGAGGAGATAAAATTGCTTTAATCACAACTGTTAATCTTCTTTACAATGACGCTAAGAGAACAAAAATTATGGAGCAGCATTTCGGAAAAAAGCTGCACCAGGTAACATGTGCCGAAAATTGCACTTCTCTCTGGACACCTCTATAAGGCGGACACCTCTGTAAAACGGCCACTTCGAGTTGGTCCCTGCCTTTCTTTACTCCCTTTATTTGACCCTCTATAAGACGGACACCTCTGTAAGTTGGTCCCTGCCTTTCTATACTCCCTTTTTTGACCATCTATAAGACGATCACTCTCAGACGGACACTTATTACCGGCCCCAAAGGTGTTCGACGTAAAAAGAGTTGACCGTAATACCATTCTGTTGTCCTCTAATTGGTATAGTTGTTAAACAATAGCGTAGTGCGACTATAAGTATGGAGAGAGTACAAAAAAGAAAACCCCGCCCTCTCCCAAATCACTGAGGATGACGTTGCCCGAAGACCATAACGCGTTCCCATCTTAGACATCATATCCTTAATTTGGGGGGGGGGGGAATGGGAGGGAAGTGTGGTTTTTATATATTGTTTCCCATGTCACCTTTGAAAATACTAAAATGGAAAAGAAACTCCTACCTTTCCCTATGAAATCAAGGATGACGCCATGTGTAGTGTTTTAAATATATCAGATTGCAACTTCACAGAGGCGTCTTTTTGTAAAACTGTTTGCTCCACGGGAAATTGGATGTTTCACCATGCCGATCGCTTACTGAAACGATTTTTACAGCTGCGTCTTGTAGAGATAAATTTCCGCTGAACGTTCAAGCAAATAAAAGGTTCCTGTTCAGTTATGTCGACCCCTCTGATCAAAAAGCTTTTGACAAGTGCTGACACATTAACTTTAAAATGTAAGCTATACATAAAACTATTATTCGCGATAATTATAGTATAATAAATTAATTCAGACAAAAATGTGCGCAGCTAGTATCGATCAGTTACAAAATGACTGAAGAACGATTAAAAGTGCTTAAAGCAACGTTCTTAACAGAAAATAGTGTACTGAGGCTAAATTTAGATAAGTTATTGTTAATATAAATAACAAACATTTGAACTGTGAATAAATTATTTTATGACTTTCACAAAATGGCTCTTAATCGCTTACTTTCGGATCTAAGGGGCATGTTGTCATCCGGGTACTAGCCTCTAAAATGAGCCGGAGCTGCCAAATGTTCCGATCCTTCACCAACAGTGAAAACACGGACAAATCCATTGGCTATGGGCGACACGTTACAATTATTAAATGAATATTACCTGAACAAAATTCCCGTCTCCCATCATTTCCTTTTTTCTTTCTTCGCACTAAACGGGCGACCTTGGCCCTCACCCGATAACTGGTCTATCATTCCCCGGGGTTAATATTAAAGAGCGCCACTTTCTGGTAACCAGGCTCATCCAGGCTAGGACTCTTGTCACCAACTGATGATTTTATCAGGGTACAGACTAAAGATATGCTCACACTTAACCGGATATAGCTTTTGCACCGGCACGAAAATCTACTGTGGAGAGTCACAACGGATAGGTTTTCACACTGTACTGTATAGCTTTTGCACCGGCACGAAAACCCGGACGGGGCTTCCTTTGACACATAAGAAGGGTGATCTCCGATCTTTAAATTGGAGAGTCACATATCGGTTAGTTGATGAACATACAATTTAGCATAAGACTACGGTTTTGTTTACTGTTTACTGGGCCCAAGCGAACCAATCTACAATGATGACACTAATTCTGACTTGCCTTTCTGTGCATTGACCAGCAATTAATGGTTACTCTCTAAGACACACTATTGTAAATAAGTTCTACAAAGGCAAGGGTTAAATCGGTCCCAGCAATTATCAAAACCGATTTATCACGGTTTGCAGTAATGTGACAGCTTTCAGGGATGACCGTACCAGAATAATTTCCGAATAGTTAATTAATATTTTTGATGGCGGCCTTATGTATCGGGATAACGTAAGGACCCCATCTATTCCTCCCCATATATGATATACATGCATCATTGTTAGTAGAGGAGACTGGTTATGAAAGCCAGCAAACATCAAAGATGAAAACGACGGTACTGCAGTGTATGGTCAACGGTGCTGCAGTTTATGATGGAAGCTCGCTGACCGAGCACAATCCTTTGTTTTTTGTTCAAAAATTGTGACTGAATAAATTAATGCGATGTTTCTATTGGTCAGTAAGTTTAAAATGATAGGAGAGCTATTGAACGTTGTGCACGCTTTAAAAAAAATGCTGAAAAAGCGAACAAAACATATAACAAACAAGTCTTAGATGTTTCATGACCATCCCACTTTATTAACTATGCATACATGTCAGAGCAAGTATTTTCCCTTTTTTTTCCTTCCTAAGTGGGGTCAGGGTTTCAAATACCCCCAAATACCCTAGGGACTAGTGCCTTCAGGTAATCCAATAAACGACTGAAGTGACAAAACACAATCCACTTCTCATCAGTTTCCTGATGAATCCAAATCAGAAATGCTCTCATGATAGCCAACGCAAAAAAGCGTGTCTCGGACAGTAACGGTCTACGCAAGTAACAACTGAGGATTAGCGCTTCAACCCAGTGGAGAGGATAGGCTAAAACTGCCAAAAAGGTAGGATCCTCGGTACTTTATGCATCTTTTAGCGTTAATAGGTCAAAATTTGCCAACATCACTTACCATGACTCGAAGGTCATTCGTTTTTTGGTCAAATCAGTTTATGAATAAAAATAGTTATCAATTTGACACCTTGAGGTCTTGGCAGATAAACTGAAGCGCATGAGGCTGTAGTTTATTGTTTCAGTGTTATTGGGAGCTCAATGGCGGTCATCACAGAACTCGCGCGACTCTGTATCGCGTTGGTTGTTCCCAGCTACCTTGTGCATGGGCAATTTGTACTTCGAACTTCAAGTTAACGTTTATCAAATTACATTTACAATTAACAATTAGCTTCAGCTGTAGCTTGTCAACTGACAATGGTAAGTTTAGAATTTGTTAAGCACTTGTACGTTTTTTTCATCATAAAGAGATGAGATGTATTTTAATAAGAGATAATAAATTATATTTTGTGACTTCCACGTACTGGCTTTTACCTTTACCATCGCTACGAGCTAGGGTTGAGGGCTACGTAGATCCTCCCATACATTTTGTTCGAATTGCTGGTTTGCACGTGACGTCACGGCGGCCATGTTGGTGGTCAAGAACAAAAGCATCTCTCCCCTCTGGGAACTAAACTCTATTTTCATGTAAATTCTTCGAGGAAATATTCTTTTGTTTTGAGCCCCAACATGGCCGCCTTATCACGTGGTTGCAAACCAAGAATAGGGAGCTTTAGCATCGACGACGGCAACGGCAGCGAAAACGTCAAATTTAAAATGAATTCCCGTTTTTTCAATCTTTGTCGCGTTTATTCCAATTTGCTGAACATGGCAAGTGTAGGCGAAATTCCCAGAAGCCGATTTCTTGAGCACCGCACTCAAGTTTAGAGAGAGAAAAAGAGATTCGTCGTCGCTTGTTTACCTCCTCCATAACACTTGCAATTAGGCATTTTCACGTCGTAGTCGTGCAAGGACGGTAAAGAAATGTACAAAAAAGCGTGATGCACGTGCAAAGTTGTTGTTTTGCTAATATAAACCTATTGCTTTTTTGACGTCCTCGATGCTGTCGCCGTCGTCGTCGTTGTTAAAGCTCCATAATACCCGACCGCATTAGGTTATCACTTTCAGGAGAACAAGCGGATATACCGAAAACTTTAATTTCTTTTTTGTAAGAACAAGTCCCGTTTCTCTCTTTGAACTTTCTTAAGTTTGCTCAACTGCGAAGCCATTCCTGTTTTCCTGATCGCTTGGTGATCCTAAATGAAGATAGAATACTTTCAGACGATTAGAAAAAGGGATTTCGAAGAAAATCCAAAAAATTTTCTGATTGCTGGGCGTTTAGTTTTTTTAAGACCCTTCCCCGCTGCCGGGCATATAGCAACTGAGCGTTTAAAAAAATGCGTTAAACCGGGATTTTGATTTGTGAGACGTTTATCTCTTGGGGCACGAGAAACTATTCATGCAGTGTGTATGGACTGAACGAATTGCCAAGGAGTACATTTCCCAGATTTCCATGAACCACGTTCGGTACTCGTGAAGGCGTATCATTAGCCTGCGTAGGAGGCGCTTGGAAGTAGTGGGCACGAGAAAGAAGCTTAAATGTTCACCTTGCGAAATCCGTGAGGAAAATAAGTGGCGTTGTATTACGTAATTTATTTTTGCGTCTCTCTTTCCGTTCTTTCTTTCTGTAACGCCTCCCTTCACGTGATTAATACAATTTAATTTGTCCCATCCATCTAACTATTTTAGTTTCCAAACGAACATCTTGGTTTTAAAGGCTTGTTAACGGAAAGCATGGGAGAGAGGGAAAAAAAACGATTCTTAACTCCAGATAAAACACAAAAAAAATGTAGGATTTAATCCAGGATTTTACTTGATTGTTAGACAGGAGCAAAAGCAGCGCTCTTTTTACTAGAAATAAAGCCGGATAAGCATAGAAATAATTCAACAACAATATCAATTATTTCACAGCACAAATAATTTATTCCAAGCAGTCAAAATCGATCCTTATCAAAGCCAAGATACCTTAGTATGGTATTCTCCCTAGACATTTTGCCCGGGGGGTTACTCCTGGGAATTCTTGGTGGGGGTATGCCGCATGGTTCCGTCAAATCCTGACCCTATTTCAGACCAAAAAATGTAACTTTCGAATTTTTGTTTTTACACACTACAGCATAAACCTGTCAATAGTCTAGTTTTATCTACTCTATCTGCAAATGAAAGCAGGATTTCTTTCAAGTTAATGTGCCCTTTTATTTAGGCAAAGCATGGGTTCTCTTTTGATTTCAAATGAAACTAGCTTGTAGAAAGACTTCCAGTCCCAACGGGACATACAGGCTAGGGACAACCTTGTGTCAGTATAAAAAAGCGGGCCCTTGAGTTAACAACTTTTTCCCTGGGTTAAAACACCTTTTTTTTTTTGTTTTGTTTTGTTGTTTTTTTTTTTTTTCAAGTGACAGAACAAAAAAAACATGATTTAGT